CCATATACAGGGTGTTACACGACCGTTCGAAAAAAAAAAATCGGGTTGTAGAGGGCATCAAAACAAGCACTTTTTCCAAATAAACCGACGGTCCAACGTGTTTCGTTTGGGAGCCACCCCCCAAAGAGTGTTGAAATCTGCATTTCTTCTTTAATTTTTTTCTCAGCAACCATAAGAGTTAGAAAGTCGGGTGGCATGTCTTTGAATAGGTTTTTGGGTATGCTCTTTCCGATTTTGCAATTTTTTTTTCAAAATTCCTACCCCTAAAGGGCGCACCCCTAAACTAGGGTGCAAAAAAAAATTCTGATTTCGACGAAATTTGGTATCTGGGGGTTTTTTAACATGAAAATCACGAATTTGAAATTAGTTTTTGAAAATTCGAAAAAAAAAGTTCCACTGCAATTCTTGGCGGGACAACGAAAATAGAGATAATTACACGAAATTTGTTGTGTACATACTAAACGAGTTAAGGAACAAAACTGTCGAACAGTTTTTTAAAATAACTTTTCAAACAAAAGTTATACTCATTTGAATGTTGGTCCTTCGGGTCGCGAAGATTCCCAAGCCTACTAGTAAGCCATAATTTCGCATGTGTTGGTTGACAATGTCGCAAAAACAAAAGATTAACGGTTTGAGTCGATATTTTGTTATTTGGAATTAATTCGGTCATGAAATGATTAAAAAATTCGATGTATCGATTAAAACACCTACCAAGGTATCTTAAAGCGCTGATCGATTGTTTATTATCTAAATAAGGTAGGGGAAATTTGTCCTTAAAAGGAGCGTGTTCTTTTGGAAGTTATTTTTCAACCTAAGATTATGAAAATTTTTGATCATAGTGAAAAAGTATCATACGGAAAGTGATTTGACTTTTTCCCCTACCTTATTTAGATAATAAATAAATCGATCAGCGCTTTAAAATACCTTGGTAGGTGTTTTAATCGATACATCGAATTTTTTAATCATTTAATGACCGAATTAATTCCAAATAACAAAATATCGACTCAAACCGTTAATCTTTTGTTTTTGCGACATTGTCAACCAACACAATGCGAAATTATGGCTTACTAGTAGGCTTGGGACACTTCGCGACCCGAAGGACCAACATTCAAATGAGTATAACTTTTGTTTGAAAAGTTATATTAAAAAACTGTTCGACAGTTTTGTTCCTTAACTCGTTTAGTATGTACACAACAAATTTCGTGGAATTATCTCTATTTTCGTTGTCCCGCCAAGAATTGCAGTGGAACTTTTTTTTTCGAATTTTCAAAAACTAATTTCAGATTCGTGATTTTCATGTTAAAAAACCCCCAGGTACCAAATTTCGTCGAAATCAGAATTTTTTTTGCACCCTAGTTTAGGGGTGCGCCCTTTAGGGGTAGGAATTTTGAAAAAAAAAATGCAAAATCGGAAAGAGCATACCCAAAAACCTATTCAAAGACATGCCACCCGACTTTGTAACTCTTATGGTTGCTGAGAAAAAAATTAAAGAAGAAATGCAGATTTCAACACTCTTTGGGGGGTGGCTCCCAAACGAAACACGTTGGACCCTCGGTTTATTTGGAAAAAGTGCTTGTTTTGATGCCCTCTACAACCCGATTTTTTTTTTCGAACGGTCGTGTAACACCCTGTATATTGCAAATGAACATGAACCAAGTGGCACAGATCAATTTGTTTAAAATTTACAAAGTGGCTTTAAGAACATAAGCGTAAGACAAAAGTAATGGAAATGAATATGCAATTTGAAGCGTAATGCAGCCTTTCGACTACCATACCTCTCCAAATGCACTTTCCTAACAAATCCAGGTGTCAAGGCAATGGAAATGAACGTGCAGTTTGAAGACATATCTGAAATACATGTAGTATAAGTAATGTAACCATCTAAAAGAATTGGAGCATTGAACCCAGCGATGGCATCTTTTCTTTTCTTCCAAACCACATACTAAGCAGCTATTGTACATATTTTCCGAATTCCTCAAAAGAAGTTCTTGCAACTTAAGGCGAAAGGGCGCGGGAACAAAGTTGT